GGTAACCGTCTGACTATCTGACTCTTGCCTCCAATTTCTGAGGGTGCTGTAGGAATCTAACACACAAAATATGCATTGAATAACTACTTTCTACAGGCATTGGCAGAATTCAGATCTCAAGGACAGAAAAAGAACAAAGTATTGTTTTGATAACATTTTTTAGGTTTTTTGCCTTTTCTTCACTGTTTTCTTCACTTAGAACGGCACGTCTGGGCATCAGGCTGACCAGGAGCAGGTGGAGCTGCCTCTTCTCCACAAGTGGCTCGTGGAGGCCTTAGGAAGAAGCCCAGCCGTGAGGAGGCCAAAGGCCGACCTCAGTAGCATAAAGCTAGAAAAAGCTATGGAAATGGATTAGGTCTTCTTCTTCTCAGTCTGCTCATACGGATTTTTACTCATTTCACAAAACCACTCTGATTCCTGGATTTATAGTAGAAAGAGCTCAAGGGTGAGTGATAAGACAGTGCTCATGTCAGGTTCTTCACCCATCAAGTTACCTGGCAGACAGTGAACATCCTACGCACACCACCCTCTACGGAGTGCAAAACCTCGGAGCCAGGACGTCAGGAGAGGCCATTCAAGGTCCTGGACGGCGGCTCCTCACTAGCATGAAGCACGGCCTTAACCTCTGTGAGATGCAGCTTTCTCATCTATAAATCAGGTTACTATCTATTGTGTCTACTGCACATGGCTATTACGGGATTAAGGAAAATAAAGGAGGTAAAAATATTTTGAAAATGAAGTATGCTACAGAAAAAAGGTATTATTAGCAGGGACACAGAGGTACCGGAAGTGTCTGCTAACAGGAGGAGGTAAGTCTCCAGGCTGGTAACTACCTGGCTTTCTTCCCCAAAGGTATAGCCTGATTCTAATTCAGAAAACCATGAGCCTGCCCTCAGGGGGCTACCTCATCTCTCCCCCTGCCCTTACCTGAGACAGATCCTTAAAGACCCCCAGGCCCTGTCTCCAATTATTTCATTGCTCTGACATTGGGGAAAACCTTCTCTGCGAAAATCACAATACAAAGAGAATTAACCTGCTCCCAGGTGAAGCGCACAGAGGAAGGTACCACCACCAGGAGTGGCCACTCCTTCCGGTAGAAGGCTGCTATGCAGATAGCTTGGATGGTCTTCCCCAGGCCCATGTCATCGGCAAGCAGCAGGCGGCCTCCTTTTGCTATGGCAAAACTGAAAGCAGACACGGTGAGGACAACAGCACAGGCAACAGCACAGCACGTTTCCCAGGGGCTTTGCTCGGCCCCCCCGTGCAGCAGGTAGGCACTGCACTGGCCAGCGCAGGCCTGCCCACCACCAGACTCGCTCCCCAAAGAGGAAGGAGCAGGAGCCAGTTAGGAGGCAAATAAAACAAGAAAAAGAGCAGGTCAAACAGGGAAAATGTGAAATGGTGGCCAAAAGGTGGGGCAAAGATCTAGAAGATCTTTAGGTCACGGAAGCCAAGGGAGGACGTTTCCAGTAAGAGGAGTCAGTGTCAGCCTCAGCCTAACGCAGGCAAGGCCCAGGGGGTGTGGACGGAGTGGCATGGGGGGCAGCCCACAGCCAGGGGCTGCGGAGGGGAGCACCCACTTACTGAGAGTCCTCCTGGAAAGGAAGGAAGGAAAGCAGAGTTGGTGGGGCAAAAACGAGGCTTTTCTGAAGATCAGAGAGTGCTCAGTACACAGAAAGGCAAAGGGACGGAGCTGGCAGAGACAGAAAATGCTGAAGAGGACAGACACAGGAAAGAAGGGGAGCAAGGGAGAGGGAGCCCCAACCTCAGCATCGAGTTCTTCACTCCCTGGCAGCCCCAGGATCCTAAAGCCCTTGAAGTGCAACAACCCCGGGTAACAGCCGATGAAGAAGGGTGCACCGCACTATGTTGGAGGCCCAGCTCCCCACTCCACAGCTGCGCTCCTTCCTGCACGTCACCTCACCTCACTCTGCCTCAGCCCTCAGCAGTCAGCAGGGACCTGCCTCACAGCGTTGTGGGAAGATGAACAAAGTTAATACACACAGCACTGAAAACAATGCTTGGCACCATCGTAAGCGCTAAGGAAGTGCTTCTATCCTAACTACTATTCCACAAAAAGAAAAATAATCAAGACACAAACAGTGAAAACGACTTGCTCGAGTCGCATGAGGAATCAGTGGAAAAAAGCAAAAAGGACCCCGAGTGCCAGATGTCTGGTGCCCTGTGCCAAACCCTAGTCCTCTTTCCATGGATTCCTGAAAAACTGAACATTTGCTCAGGAACCTGCTAATAAGCCAGTCGCATAGCTCTTTTTCTTTTCCGTCTCGCACAGCAAAAACAGAATAGAACCTCTTCTCATCAGAAGGTATGGTGACAAGAACTAAACCACCCTGAGCCTGGTTAAAACAAGGCACAAAGGACATCTCAACAGATGAAGGACTGAAATGGCAAAGCAAGGTGACGTTTTGTAAAGTGCACTCTCTAGAGAGATAGGAGAGAAAGGGAGATAAGAGTAACAGGCAGGGCTGGGGCCACAGGGACACAGTACAGCATGCTGTGCCCCAATGGCACCCAGACCAGAATCCTGCCTGAGACAGCAGCCAAACTGCTGCCAAATACCACAAACAGGTCTCGGGCAGGCAGGCCATCTCCGTTTGTCAGCTCCGTTGATATTAATAACTCAGGTTCCACCCCCTGCAGAGGACTCTGTCTGCAACCACACTGCCTAATAACAGCTCTAACACACATTATCTCTAGACGGACTATCAAGACTTCCTCTTTCCTCTCCTTGAACTACTGCATTTTCAAGAGAAGGCAACTTCAAACCTAGCATTTTGCTTCTCCCAAGAAACTGTGGAAAACAAGGACAGGTCATGACACGAGTTTATCTTTTTTCTGTCTAAGAGCACCCTGAGTTTCTTTTGGAGAGCCACCACCTCCCACTCTCAGCCGAAGTATTTTGGGGGATAGGCCCTTGCCACTGGCTTCAGGGATGAGCTTATCACCCAGTCTAACCAACAAGACTTTAAGCCTCCAAGGCCACAGTGACTGGCTCCGATGTCAGCACCAGACTTAAGCCATTGCAGTGTCAAACTCATCAGGAAAAAAGTGCTTCTGTAGTTGCTAAGCTGATGGACTGACAGCTGGAAGCCCCTGGCAGCCTTAGTTGCCACACTTGAGGAGCACCTGGCTGAGAACAGAGCAAACTAAGAAGAGCTGAGAGAGGGAGAGTCCTCATGAGATCTTAAGAGATGTTGGATTTTCTACAACATGCACTGAGAAACCTCTTTCATTAAGCTAGTTTAAATGGGATTTCTGCATACCTGCAATCAGAGTCCTGGTTAACCCATGGAATTTGAAATCAATGGTTACAATGAGGCTTTGGTAACAGCACACCTGGCTGTTTAATGCTTAGATTCTTCCAGGTATTTGTGGAAGATGAGAGTTCATAAAAGGGGAAGCACCTGAACCCAGCTTGAGGGGAGTGATGAAATTCACGCAAGAGAAGGGAAGGTGAGAGGAAGATCAAGAACCTACTTGACGCCAGCTCTCTGAAAGGGCATCAGATTGAACACGAGCTTGGGGTCCACTTCAGAAAGGTCTGCCTCTGGGACATCTGCCGTGGGATGAAGAGATGTCTTCACCAGCTGAGAAGCAAAAGCCAGGGTGAGCGTTTTGGGCAGGGGATCCAGCTGAACTTGTGGAAGGTTGTCGCGTACCCTTTCAACTGGAAAGAACAGAGGTGTATGAGCTGGAGTGTTCACTCCTACTCTGGGGAAAGAAAAAGGGCTTTGAGATAACACAGTTCAATAACTGAAATTCTGCTTCACCCCATCTTCTCAAAAAGGTCAACTAGAGAGAAAATCAGGGGCTGACAGTTACATCCTAGGCAAAGTACATTAACTTAGACAACTAATTTCCTTCTCTATTCCTTAATTTCTGCAAATAAGAGGCAAGCAATAATGCCAAATTGATTTGCTATAATACACAAACACTGGAAAGAAATGTATTTTTGTGACTGATTTTTTTTTTTTACCCTAAAGAAATTTAAAAAGTTATCTCAGTATTCCCATTCAAAAAATAAGGACCCATATTCTTTAAAAAAATCAGTCCAGAAAGACCCATGAAAAAGCAAGTCTTAGAATAAATTTTGTCTTGTTTTCATTCTCCTTATGTTTTATTTTGATGGTTTTGATGTTTGAGGAGGCAGAGAACTCCAAGTGCTCAACTTTCAAAAGGCAAGGAAACACTCTGCTCTGTATGGAGAAGCTGTTAGGTGTTTCCAAGAAGATAGGTAGGACGGTAGTGCTGTTTAAAAACAACAAAAGGCAGAGTCTATGCGAAAGCCACAAACTGATAAAAAAGTACATTTTTGGCCCTTTACATAAAAGAATAAATATCTCCCCTTGAGAGAAGTGAGTTTTATAGGACTGATTTCTGTGGTAAAGAAGCTAAAAAATCCTGTATCTGGATGTTCCTTGCTAGCTCCTTACCTATTCTCTAATGCAGACATGAGCAGTCTAAAGCTTGTGGGCCAAATTGGCCTCCTGCCTGTTTTTCAATAAAGTTTTACTGGAGCACAGCTATGCCATTCATTTACGGACTGTGTCCGGCTGCTTTCATATTACAATGGCAGAGCTGAGAGCCGTTGGGATAGAGACTGCATGGCCCACAAAGCCTAAAATATTTATTAATACTATTTGGCCCTTTATAAAAAAAGTTTACCAACGCCTGCTAAGCTTAGAATCTAAACTATTAGAGTGACCATTACTCAGACTCTTTCAATTTACATTTAGCAGCCTTTACTTTCCTTCCAAGTGTGCTGGTCCTAGATCCCTATACGATGGAGAAATGTTTTAGTTAGGGCCATTCACCCCAGTGGGAGAAATAAATTACTTGGGATCTACATGGAAATGAAAACAAATTAGTGGCACTGACCTTGCTTTTTGAAAGAACTTAGTCTCACCTGGTTTTAAAATTTAAAAAAGAGAAAAGAAAAAAAACTTTACTCAATAGAGAAACAGAAAAGAATTAATAGAACATAATTATCAGGGGTGAGGGAGATGAATTAAAAGTAAAAAACTTAGAGAAAAGATGACAGACCTAGAGATCCCTGGTAGTAGAATTATTAAATTACAAATCACAGCTGTCCTGTGGGCTGTAACTTTCAAGATGTTCTTCCCATTTATCATTTTCCTTTGAAAAACCTAATTAGAAGAGCAACTATTATTTACAGATTTTCAATCGCTCTTTATCCTTTTCCTTTTTAATAGCGCTCTCGGGAGTCAGAGTAACCCACCAAGAGGCTAATTGTCCTCAGATATCCAGTAAAAAAAAAAAAAAAAAAAAAGGAAAAACTGGGTGTATTTATTTCTACCCAATATTATTTGAAATTCTAAGGTTGTTGGTTCTCTATTCCATATGGTCATGTGTGATCCTATGTTTTCTTAACATCCTCACAAGGTCTTCCAAAAGTCTTTTGCTACAACCATCAGTTGGTTACCACTGCAAATACTGATGTGCATACGCAGGACAAAGCTATCTGCTGCTACCTCCAATTGCTTTGTATTTTCAATATATTTAAATCAATTTCTGCCCTTCACTAAATATAAGTACCAGTTATTTCTGGAAACAGTTTCTATGAACAGAATCACCATGAGAGGAAATTAGGTAAGGTTGACAGCTTTAATATAAAATAGACTGTCCATACTGATGCAGAAATACGTTTTATACCTCCAAATTAAATCTGAGCATGCTGATTTCTGCACACTTCAGGAGACTGAGCACTCTATGTGCTTTCAGAAACCATTTTCATTTTAATCCTACTGATCTTCAGAACTCAAATACTTCATGAAAGCTAAGAAAGGGCTGATGATCTGGCTGGTGTAAAATGCAGTGCTTTGTAAGCATTATGCTCTTTCAGCCATTTAAGAGGAATAAAACCAACATCCACTATGTCTCCTACCAACTATCTCCAAGATCCTAGGCTGCTAGTTCAGCCAACTGTGTGTTTGAGAAAGCTACCATTCCCTGTCAACATCTGTCTCTACTGTCATTTCCTTGCTACTGGGAGATGACAGGCATGCTGTCTAGCTTCATGAGTCATCTAGAAGTCATTTCTGTAAAATAGCTCTTTGGCAGAATGCTACTAGCCACACAGCAGAGATGCTAATGTTTTCAAATAGCAGCTGACAAGACAAGATTGTTGAGAGCCCTTCTGGACTGTGACAGCCAGGGGAAAACAAAAGGCCTTATGCCAATTTCACTGGGACAAAAGTCCCCACAACACTTAGAAAAGAGAGGGGAGGAAAGTGCTTAGATTCGCCTTACTAGAGAAAATGATTCTCACTACTTCATCAATGAGGATTCGTGTACTCAAGTCTCACTGACATTCTCATATGTACGCGTTCACTAGCTTGGGGTCAATAATCTAATTTCACACATGAGAAAGGCGACCTCGGGGTGAAGCGAGAGGAGCCCACTGCCCAGGAAACGGGACTGTATTCCGCAGTGCCCTCCCTCTTTGGCTTCTTACTTCACGGAGCTGCTTCTAAATTTGATAATGGGTCAGGTTACAAACACAGATGGCAATTTTATTCTTATTTCTGTCACTGACTTTACTGTGACCCTGTGAAGCTCCCAATAAGGAAAGCTTTGGACTCAAGCTTTTTCCAATCTATGAAATGGGGAGGATCAGTCTTACCTTCCATGAGACACGGTAAAGACGAGATAGCATGTAAAAACTAAATCCATTAATAAAACTCTTTGCTCAGGGTCTGTGGAATCATTAATATCAAGTGCAAAATTTTATATATGGCCATTATGTGCATTTTTTTCTGGGTGAAGAATCCATTGTTTTCATGCGATATTTCAAGGAGTCTATGGTCCACAAAAGATTAGGAACCGTTACATAATGCTGTATGGATGAGTCATAAGTCATAGATTTTCAACATTACATTCATCTGTTAATGCTGTAAGTATCTTGCTTTTTGTTGTTCCGTAAAAGTCAACACCTTTATAGCTGACATATTTATGAGTTTCTTGGTTGAAAGACAAAGAAGTGAAAAGGAAAGAACTCCTATTTCTCATCAAAAATTCAGCTTTGACCAAATAGTTCCTCCTGAATCACAAATTCCAAATAGCAGCAGCCATAGTCTCCAGATCAACCTGAGCTAACCTTTCTGCTTTAGCCAGCATTTACTGATACTCAGCACCATCTCCTAGCCAAACCTAATCTTGTAGTTCACAGCAAGTTTTGCTCAAGGAATCAAAGCCCTTCCTTTTTATGTAATTCCTATGTCAACAGAGAAGACAGGGATTAAACATCTTCCCCCTGCCCCCTTTTTTTTTTAACTGAAGGGACAAATGGGACCTGGAGTGTTGAATTACCTACCCAATGTCACACAGGAGGTCACATAAGGAGACAAAGGGAAAGAACCCAGGTTTTCAACCTCTTTCTTAAAGCCCTAGCCTGATGGGCAAGACATCTAAGGACTCAGAGCTCCCGGGGTTGGATCATGTCTCTCCAGGCCTGACTGGTACCAACGAATGACTCCTCCCTCCATCTGGGAGGCCCAGTAAGTCCTCAGCCGTCAAGCAGGAGAGACCTAGCTGTGCCAGCCTCGTACCCAATGCAGAATCGTTACAGCCAGATGGATGAGGGACCGGTATTCCGGGACAGGCTGAGATATGGCCATGTCCTCCTTTTCCAGGCATATTAGAAATAGATCGCCCCATCTAAGCAGAACATACAGAAGAAAATGATAAACCAAAACTGACTACTTCTTATTACAGTTATCTGTACACATACCCCCTTCCCTTGGTCATTCTCAAAGTGCTTGTTAAAATGCTTGAGTCCCCTGGCCTTGACCTCTGCACCTGACAGAACTCAGCCCATTACTCATGACTCTGCCTTTCTTGATCATCTAGTTCTAGAAGTAAATTGAGAGCCTGCTCTCAGAGGTCATCTTAGGAGAATGGGCAGCTTCCATCTAAGCTATGCAATCCCAGCTCACCTCTGATTCCCAAAGTCCACAAACCCTCACTTCTAAGACTTCTATCAAGGCAGGATTACTAGTACTGCCTCACCCCTGTGGAAGAAGAGGTCCTGCGTTCGAGTGGGCTGTCACAAAGCCATTGTCTCAGTGGTCACAGATGAGGCTGCCCAAGAACATCCCCACCTTTACTTACCCTGTACTTACCCTGCATCTGAAGTTACCACAGGAGAGGAAGGAGGAGATTGTTTGACAATACATTAAATTTAAGGCAGATTATTAAAACTTAATAATAGCATGATATAAAACAGGCAAGGAAGGCTTCTCACTTAGTTTATTGTGTTCTTCTAAGAGAAAGCTCCACTTCCTGGTCTTGACATCTGCAATGAGAAGAAATTCATAAGCAAACGGGACACCCTGCCCTCTCGCTATGTCATCGCACTGACTCCTTCATTCCCTGGCTTCAGAAACTTACGTTAAGCCTGGACAATGTGGCAGGCCCTGTACCTGGCACCAGGGATACAGTAATAAGATTGAGTACTTGCCCTCTTGAAGTTTCCACGGTATGCCGGGAGGAGAAACAGGCAGAGATGGTGACAACACTGGGTTGTAAGGGTTGTGATAAAAGGTGTTACAGGCAGACATGACTAGAATGGCACAGCAGGTCAGAAACGCCCCGAACGTCCAAGACAGGGATGATAACTGTAGCTTCCATGATCACCCGGCACTCACTCTATGTCAGGCACTGTGCCAGGAGAGTCACTCACACCACCTCAGCTGCCCCCCACACCTCTGTGATATGGGCTGTGGTAACAGCTCCCTGATATACGTGGGAAACAAGCTGCGTGTGGTCAGTGGTCAAACTACCTATGTGCAAATCCCAGCTCTGCCTCTCACTGGCTGTGTGACCTCAGGCAAGTTATGTGACATCTTTGTGCCTCAGTTTCACATCTGGAAAATAAGGATACTACAGCCCCTTCCTCACAGGGTTACTGTGAGGATTACGTGAAAACCGAATGTAAGATGTCTATAAAAGTATATCTGGAAAACAAGGAGCATTCAAAAAAAAAAAGCTAGTTATGAATTACTGTTGTTATAATTATGTCATCTGCTAATTAGTACAATGTAGTAGAAATTACACACAATATTAACTTAAGAAAGTGGAGCAACTTACTACCCACCAGTGGCTCATTATTTAAATAGAGGAGTTTCTCTACTAATCCACCTTTTGAGAAAATCAAGAAAGCTTGGTCTTGATAAACACTAGCTGGGCAGCAAAAGTTAATTCTGTGCTGTGTGGTCATTTCAAAATCAAGGTGGTGGGAAAGAAGCACTATGGACATAGGGAGTCGGTTTTGGGAAAAAGTAAGGAAGTCCAGGGTTAACCTGAGGGAGGAACAAAAGCAGGCTAATCTCGAATGTAGGACTAGCACCGAGACAACAGCTTGATTCTGACAGTGGCAGGGTGGCCAATGGGAAAGCTACAAATGCGAGGGGCGGCAAAGAATCCAGTCATGGTTTGTGGGCGTCTGGGTGTGAGCAGGATCAGGGATCAGTATTTTCACTGTACCTGCTCCCAAAACAGCAGACCACATCAGGAGGGTGATCTCAAAGCCTGGTGATAGACAAAGATCATCGTGTTTATCTTTAAGGGCCAGTCCAAGCTTAAGCGGGACAGAAGAGGGGACAGGGAGCAAAGGATCCTGGCCCTCATGTGCGCAGCTCATCTCATGCCCAGGCTGGCCTAGCATAGCTCACCCATACCCTGCTCTTATCAGTTACAACTGTGTCCATCTAAGGGATGGTCACATAAGAGCATCACCCTCATCCTGAAGGGGGCCAAGCCCTGAGGAGAGCTCCTGTTGAGCAAGTAATGCTGGGGGCTTCTTCCATGATGTTGTCCGAATGTGATGTCTCAAAGGCATGAGGTTTTAAGGGTTTGATTTCTACTTGCCTAAGGAAAAGACTAAAACCATTTCAAGAACGGGAACATCCACCCACAAAAGCCAGGTAGTTTTTAACAACAATGTGACCCGAGCTAAAAATGAAACCCAGGAGCCCAGATTTCTAAAGCCACTTCTGACCAGGGAGCTTTTGAAGAGTCTCACAAAAAATAAAGCCAAACTATCGCTTTGGCCAGTGATTTTCAAGCCTAGTTAATAATTAGGCTCATCTGAAGACTTTTTAAAATACCAATGCCTAGGCCCCACCTAGGACCAAATAAACCAGCCTTTCTGGGTGAAAACCAGGCACCAGTGTTTTTGCAGTAGCCAGTGCCGCCAAGGAGCAGCCAGAGTGGGGAACCACCAGCGTTTTCAGACAATGGGCCTGTCACCAGCAGCCACAGCACCAGGGAACTTGTGAGAAAAGCCAATTTGGGGCCCCACCCTAGAGCTCCTGAATCATAAGCTCTGCCAGTGGGGCCCAGCAGTCTGCCTTTTAACAAGCCTTCCAGGCGGTTCCCATGAACCCTCAGAGTTTGAAAACCACTGTCTAAATTTATTTATTTTTATGACAACAACCTGTTTTTCTGCTCTGCTAAGGCCAAAATAAAAACAGATGGGTTTAAATAACTGAAGTAGGAATTTACCTGCTTCTACCAAGACACAGACCAAGTTGATGGGGAAAATTGTGGGGCCTTCTCTTTGGGAAGCCTTAACAACAAAACGGCCCCACTATGTGTTTGCTGTCTGGAACAAGGGAAGAGAAGCAGACCAGGAAGTCATTTTTGAATATTCAAAGATAACGTAAAACACCCTATCCTGAGATCATTGACCACTATACATCCTGGGAATCAGACAGAGACCAATTACGCACCGTATTTTCTGGAATCCATTTGTTTAAATAGTGCAATCAAGTCCTCTGAATAACCGATGTCTGCCTCAAAGCGGGCCCGTGAGATGAGCATGCATTGCCCCTTGACAAAGGCAAGGGACGGAGCTGAAGGAAGGCTGGCTTGTCCCCCGATGCTGGTGGAGGGTGACTCCCTGCTGCCATCGGCCCCTTTCAAAGGCTCCAGGGTGACCATGGAGAGGCGCTGGACTGCTTTTACTGCCAAAGAAGAAGAAAAGGACAGAAGTTGACAAAGGAGAGGACTCTGGCACAGCCCTAGGGCGCTCAGGCAGGAAGGGAGGAAGGGGACAGGAGGAAGGGGACAGGAGGAGGGCAGACTGGGTCACCAGGGACTGGCAGGTGAGTGAGAAAAGGCACTGACAGATAGAAAGGCTCGCAAGTGTCCTTTAACTGGGGCTTTGGGAATGTCAGTATTTACTGAATGTAACTCTTCTGCTCCTTAAGTTTTTCAAATTAAGAAACTTAGAATTCAGAAATTAACAAGGGGAAGAAGAAGCTCACCAGGATGAATAAACTTTTTAGGTAATTTATGTTGTTGTGTTAGAGAAGCCACTGAAGTCAACACACCACAAATCACCCACTTAACCCTATTCTCAGGTCACTACTCTGCCTACTGCTCGGAGGACAAGGGACTGAGAAGCAGAACCGCCAGGACACAAACGTGCAGTTTTGAACATTATTTCACCTATTACTGATGGCTTTTATAGATTAATAAACTTGGCTACATAAAAGTAAATTGTCAAAAAACACAAACTGAAGTGCAAGGCAAAAGCTACTGAGTAATTGTATC